AAACTGTGTTGAAAACATGTATGACACTGGTGAAGCCTCAAAGAAATTTCACCTGAACGTTGCCCTGCTGCCGGGGGGAATGGTTCTACCAACATCTGTGTTTAAGCCCTTGTAGAAAAGTTTACCAGCACTGAGAATCCAACAGCCTCAGCGGATTCTCAACGTTCTAAGGTATCACTGTTACTCAACGAAGATAAAACATCCAGGACTGTAACTCCTGGAGCAGCTCTGAGACAGCAGAGTTTAAACCATGACACAGACACTTCATTCACTGCAGCTGGAACAGATCAGAAACCCACACTCATCCTCGTAGAAGGTGATAAGCAAATAGAAAAGAGGTCCAAGAACCAATAATTCTAGTTTTGACTTTTTTAAAAAGACTTTTTTCAAGTTAAGCACTCAGTTTATTTATATTCTTTCCCTGTGTTTGTAAGGAAATGAAAAATAAATGCTTCTTTGCATACATTATAAAATTAAGACAGTAATCCCTCTGCAGTGATGTATCTTGGAAAAATGGAATGAAACTCTCCTGAAGTTCTACAAACTGGTGGTATGAGAAGTGCTAATTAGAGATCACCTTTTCCTGCGTGTGCTGTTTTCCTTTATATTGGGAAGCACAAGGGCAAAATATTAAAAGCTTCAATTTCTAATTCATTTTACCTTTTTAGGCTTTCAATAAGCTACAAGTTAATGCCAAAGCCAAGCTGGCATCCATGAATATCACAGGAAAACTTAAGGTGAGTGTCCTTTACTTCACCACCTTCCAGGCTCCCAAATGAGGAACTGGATTCTTACTGTAACATTATTACCTTCTCTATGGGATGGAGAATCTTCTCTTTCAGCAAATTCCCCACCAGAAAGCGGAGGGTAAACTGCTCCCCAGGTACCAGTGAAGCAGGGAGAGAAAAGCTGATGTGTGCCTGGAACTGCCAAGGAGCAATTTGAAATTCCATCATCAAGCAGGGAAAAAAAAATAAATAAATCAGCAATTGTTTTAATCTCAAACTCTACCGTAAATTGGTGAAAAACATTCCCCGTGGCAACCAGAACTGCCTTTCCTAAAATTTTTACGCTATTAGGAAAGAAGTGTCATATATTTTTAGTAAGAATTGTAGGAAGGTATGGGTTTGTTCAGTTTTGGAAGAACTGAGGTGGTGGTTTTTTTCTTCTTCTATTTATAGAACCCCACACTTGACACTTCTTCCTTTTACAGCAATGGTAACCTCTTCAGGGAGAAGCCTTTCAGGCAGTTTCCACCAAGGGGATGCTGTCCCGACAAGGGACTAACAAAATATTGAAGAAAGCAAAGATCCTTGTCTTCTGAAAAATACTGGAGAATTTAAGCTAGACTGTAGATTTTAGCTAGAAAAGCTCAACAAAAAAAATTACTCTGATCATAACTATTCTGAGCTCAGAGCTTCAGGAGTCCTCAGCTGTTAAAGGAGATGACATTAGATGATTAGAGGAAAAACGGAGGGCCTTTTAAAGCACATGAGATGTTTCTACAGTATATACCTATATATACAGTATATAGCAGGAGCAATGCAAGTCACTTACTGGACAAATTCAGGTGGCAAGATGTACAAGTGGTCTATTAAAATAATAAATTAAAAAAAACCCCAACTCCAACATAGCATGCTCGCCACTTCTGGTCACCTCAACTGAAGCTTTCGGTTCTATAATCTTAATTAAGTAGCAGCTACAAAGTTGCAGGACAGCTGGTGATAAACTGAGCATTGAGAGCAGTCATTTTTGCTTTGCCATTTGAAACCAAAAATCCCTATGATGACATCATCAGATCTGGCTGTACACCGCCGTGACATTTTTTGCCGGAAGACAGTCAAATTGTGGATTTAAATAAAAAAATACTTAACATTTAAAATCAACAGGCAATGAAGAGTCCAACACCTCCTCTACTTCAGTTTTTAGTTACACTTACTAGAGAAAACTGGATTTGTCTGGTTTGGCTTCTCAGTATTTGAGTTGGCCTGACTTGGATGTCAGGATTAAGAAGTGCTGTCCTCCCACTCCTCGGTACCACATTTATTTTTCCCCCCACGTGTAAATATATCAAACATTTTTTACATGCATCAAAATGCAGCTTCATCTTCTTTGGTAACGATAAGAGCCAGAGTTCCTCAAATCTCACACTGCAAGATCTACTACATCCAGACCCAGATTTTACTTTAATTTCAATTATTGCTACAGCCTTCTCAAGTGCAGACATCATAATTGCACGTTTTTCTGGTACTAGTCTTCCCCATGCTGTTCGGGAGGCAAAAATAAGTTCCCTACATTGATATATTTTTTTCCCTTTGTACATGTTCAAGTATTTCATCAGGCTTTTAACTACAACTCCAAAAGCACTGAGGTTCAAGTATTTCATCAGGCTTTTAACTACAGCTCTGAAGCACTGAGTCCTTCTCTGGCACGAGTCTTTTTGCATTGCTGCTTTTTTTTTGTCTACTACGTTCAGAGCGTACCATCTTTGTTGAAAGAGAACATTTTTACCTTGTGATGACTTTTTTTTTTGCAATCTGATGACTGCATGTTCAAGTATTTCATCAGGCTTTTAACTACAGCTCTGAAGCACTGAGTCCTTCTCTGGCACGAGTCTTTTTGCATTGCTGCTTTTTTTTTGTCTACTACGTACAGAGTGTACCATTTTTGTTTGAAGAGAGCATTTTTTACCTTGTGAGGACTTTTTTTTTCAGAATATTGGAAAAATATCATATTCTCATTGTTTTCTATTCCACCAATTTTTCTCTTCTCCAAACTTTACTGGTTGATTCCTCCTACGCTTTTCTGAACAGATGACACCGTGTGCTGTTTTCCTTTATATTGGGAAGCACAAGGGCAAAATATTAAAAGCTTCAATTTCTAATTCATTTTACCTTTTTAACTACAACTCCAAAAGCACTGAGGTCCTTCTCTGGCACGAGTCTTTTTGCATTGCTGCTTTTTTTTTGTCTACTACGTTCAGAGCGTACCATCTTTGTTGAAAGAGAACATTTTTACCTTGTGATGACTTTTTTTTTTGCAATCTGATGACTGAGAATATTGGAAAAATATCATATTCTCATTGTTTTCTATTCCACCAATTTTTCTCTTCTCCAAACTTTATCGAATGGTTGATTCCTCCTACGCTTTTCTGTACAGATGACATACAAACAATCTTTTTGTTAGACAGTAAAACTCTGGATTCCTGCTGTTAAGGAATTAATGGCTGTACCAGGACTTTTAAGGTAGTTGTACATGGAAGATCTCCATCCCATTGTCTAACCCTTCTCCTCTAACCATTTCTCTCCCCACAGCAAATGCTTCTGCTCACATCTCCACCACTTCTTGAGGACAGAACTAACACATCAGTGCAGTGGAACCTAAATACAAAGTGATAGGAGGAAAAAAAAAACAATTGTGTATCACTTGATTTTAATTAGCTACAGGTTTTGAAGGCTTCTCACTAGAAAAAAGGATTTAGGCAGTCAGTGAGTTAATTCTTTCATACAGCCCCCTGATGACAGGTCCCTGGCAGAGGTACCTGTTTCTGAGGCAACCACAACACCCCGACGGAAGAGCTGGAACCATTTCTCATCACTGGGTAAAACTGGAGCAAGAAGTATTTCTTTGGAATGTACCTCAAAAGAAACCCTCTTCTCAGTACAAACGTTTTCAGACAAACTGAGTAAAAGGCACTGTTGCTCAAGCAGTACATTTGTTGTCTCCAACTGTTTAAAAATGAAAAAGAAAAGGATGTTTTTGAACAATTAGCTACTGTTGCCCTAAGAAGGCTTCCTTATTACCTTGCAGTAATTTTGCCTCTCCCTGTAAAAGCTGAACATAAAAACTGCTTTTCTCTGAAGCGTGTCGAGTCTCACCTTGATATCTATCTTTTTATCTAAAATTATGAGTTAGTATAACAGTATGCATTATAAAATTATACCATTTACTTCAGACATGTCTGAACAGCTAGATCTTCAAACTATACAAAAATAAAGTGTATGAAATCTTACAAAAGGAGGACATTAAGACATTAAGAGCTAATCCAAAAAAATATAATAACTTATACAGAGCAGGAAGCATAAGCAATGTAGCCTACAACAGCTTTCAATGAACAGGATCTCCGAAACGCGTCTGAAACAAGCATCAGCTAAAATTGGAACATTCCCAAGCACAATAATGTTTCCAATTTATTATCTTTACCACAGTACAAACTGTCACAAACCCAGTGTCCATTGTCTGTCGGTCTGTAAACAAAAGCTACTATCCCCCCTCCTTATTTTAAGAGGGTGAATATTTTCAGTCCTCAGTCAAGTTTCATATCCATCACTTGCATAAGGAATCAAGAGCCTCTTCTCCTGTTAACACTTGCATAAGGAATCAAGAGCCTCTTCTCTTGTTAATTTTTTTTTTCTTTTTTTTTGTTTTTTTTTTGTGTCATACAGCCTGCAGTGAAGTAAAATCACAGTGAATGTCCTGGGAAAAACATGATCTTTACAGCAGGACTTGAACCATTCTAATAATAAATGCATCTAACAAAGCTTCCCATAATAAAAGCATGGCATTTCCATTTCCAGAAATCAAGTCAATTTAGAAATCCTAAGTTCTACATAAAAACCCCAAAAGATCTAAAAGTGTAAAGATTCATCTTCTCAGTCAAATACAAGTCTTTCAGTTTCACTCGCAGAGAGAGACTTTTCCAGTCTGTAAAACAGTAGTGCAATTTGATTTAGTTCTACTTCTTTTATTTTTCTTTTAAAGTCCAGTAGATAAATGTCCTAACTCTACGGAAAGATAGGAAGATGCTCCGGTAAACAAGAACCTTTGGCAAGCCCAGGAGGGCTTACTAGTCCATTAAAGCTTACAAGTCCAAAGTGGCTTAAAAATGGTTTATGAACAAACAGTAACAACAAAAAAAACCACCAAACCCCAAAGCTAAAAAAAAAAAAAACACTAAAAAAGACAAACTAAAAAAAAAAGAAGAAATAAATAGGCAGAAATGAATGTAAACTGTCTGAACTTTTTAATGATTTCTCATTGACAGCTGGCAGGGCCTTGGACAGTACAGTCAGTTAAATAGAGTTGACCTACAGAGCATTCCATTGGGGCATCCATTGGCCAACGCTCCAATGGAATTACATTCCTAAAGATTTAAAAAATAAGAGTTCTTATAACATCGCTCCGGGGGCTTCTTCTGCCCACCTCACTTACTCTTCTTCTTAAAGAGGCTTTTTATTTTCGATGGCTTTTTGTTTTTTTCCCCGTTTTGGTAGAGGTCCTGGGGGATGCTACTTATCCTGGGGACGGAGGCAGCTTCGGGGCTGGGTTTACTCTCGCTGCCGGCTGAAGAGCAGGAGGTGTGCCGGGGCTTGGGGACTGGGATCCCAGTGGAAAGCTGGTTCATGCTGCAGGACTTCTCCAGGATTCCGTTATAAACTTTGCTGGCAGGACTAAAGATCATGCTCTTAGTTTCTGCCATGCCTACACAGTCAGGAGAGCCCCTGGAGATATCTGCAGTTAGAGAAGAGGAGTCTCCCGTAGACGATTCCTCCAGTGAGAACTCTTCTGGAGATACTTTCTGAGGAGAAAGTGGCTGGTACATCTCAAGGCTGGCTGGAGGAGACTGCTTCCTTCCAATGGAGGAATTTAAGGAGTCACATTCCGAACCTGTTTCCTGTACTTCCCTGAGTCAGAGCAAAGAGAGGAGAAAAACAGCATGAAACTACTATTTCTTTCGTGCCGTTAAAAAGGAGATTAATTTAGAATGATTAACATTAGTCTAAAAGCACCACCCACACTTTTCCTTAGTAGTTAATTAACAAAAAAAAAATTAGTTAAACATTTTAACTTACAACTTGCATTACATCATTTTATTATCTAAACTTAAGGTAATTAGTTTGTGCAATCTTGGTTTTGTGGGCAGCAGCATCTGCCCAGAATCAGTCATTTGCATCTTACTTCAAAGAACAACAAAACAAAACAAAAACAAAACTATCTTTCTTGGCACGTGAAGTCAGAAAAGTTATGAAACGAAAGGAGGAGAATTAAGCCTATCATATACAAAAAGTTTCTTCAGGACAAGTGTCCCTACCTTTCAACAAGCTCATTTGCTCCTTCCAAAAGGAATTTAACCTTTTCCTATGAGGCCATGTAACAAGAGTAGGGACACGCTCAACATGCTGTAAGAATTGTGTTACCATCCATCTTCTCTTCGCCCAGTAGCTGACACTGCTTTTGATCCTAGTTTCAGATGTAAAAGCCAGTGACATATTGTAATGGAGAATCAGGGTTAGTTCAGTGCACCCTGGATTGTAACATTACTTAACTGTACACGACATGCTAGCTAGTGACACACCCAAACCAGACAAAAACTCACTCTGTTCCATGGGGACTATCATTATTTATATTATCCTACACATTACGTTAACCGTTGGCTCGGTTCAAACCGCTAATTCTAAACTGTTAGTCTCAAATAATCCTAGCAGAGCTGCAAAGGGCTGGTTGCTAATCTCCGTACCATTGTTTGTCAGCAGAGAAGTAAATGGCTTCCTCCTCCTCTTCGGTTCGATAAAGAGCGGGGCAGCTGGAGACGGAGAGGATGTCGGGGTCGGGGGAGTGCAGGGCGTGCTGGGACTGCGGAGACGACGGCACCACGTTGCGGCGCGAGCGACACAAGCTGCTGCTTCTGGCCAGCGTGCTGGGAGGCTTTACCATGGACCCTGAGGCAAAGAAAAAGCAAAACCAAAACCCTCCAAGTGACATTGGTGTTCACAGTATCTGCTCTGAAGACTCCATAGCAGGGATCTGCTTCAGCCACAGCGATTCTTAAACCACTTGGACATTGCTCAACTGTTCAGAGGGCACTACCTTATAGATCTACCTTATCCAGTGCCTAAAGGGGCTGCAGGAGAGATGGGGAGGGACTCTTGATCAGCTGTGGCTGCCCCATCCCTGGAGGGGTTCAAGTCCAGGCTGGATGGGGCTTTGAGCAACCTGGTCTGGTGGGAGGTGTCCCTGAGGTTGGAACAGGTGCAGCAGAGGGCCACGAAGATGATCAGGGGGCTGGAGCACCTCTCCTATGAAGACAGGCTGAGGGAGCTGGGATTGTTCAGCCTGGAGAAGAGGAGGCTCCAGGGACACCTTATAGCAGCCTTTCAATACCTGAAGGGTGCCTATAGAAGAGCTGGGGAGGGACTCTTTGCCAGGAAGGGTAATGATAGGACAAGGGGAAACGGTTTTAAATTGGAAGAAAAAAGATTCAGATTAGATATCAGGAAGAAATTTTTTACTATGAGGGTGGTGAGACACTGGACCAGGTTGCCCAGAGAAGCTGTGGCTGCCCCATCCCTGGAGGGGTTCAAGGCCAGGCTGGATGTGGCCTTGAACAACCTGGTCTGGTGGGAGGTGTCCCTGCCCATGGCAGGGGGTTGAACTAGATGATCTTTGAGGTCCCTTCCAACCCAACCCATTCTATGATTCTATGACACTCTACAGTCAGATGAAGCAGCTCACCAAGACACAAGTTCTGCAGTTTCATGCCTGCCATACACCAACCCAAACCATTCTATGGTTCTATGACACTCTACAGTTAGATGAAGCAGATGCAAGTTCTGCAGTTTCATGCCTGCCAAATATTATTCTGACCGTGTGCACCAAAGCTCTGGCTCCCTACGCTCTCTTGAGAACAAAGAGAAAGATTTGACTGAAATTCCCAACCCTTTATAAGCTAAAAATAGCAGTGCTGAAATTAGCTTCTTACACAACATCCTGTATTTCACTTGTGTGGCGATTTGGAGTTTAAAAGAATATGTAAGAGTTTTGCCATGTGGGTAATATCTAACCAAACAGTCAACTGAAATACACTGCATTAGCTCAAAGTGACGTTAGACGTGGAAGACCAATTTGATTTATGTAACATGATAGAAAATACATCATTCACCCTCCATTTGAAGCTCAAGAATTTCCGATTCGATAACACTTTCTTTTGTCAGGCTAACTATGAATTTCCGGAAACAAAAGTACTAATAATGGGTGGAGACAGCAACACAAGACTTCACCAGGAAAGCATCTAAGAGGAAGTGACAAACAAAAATAATCCGTTTCCTCCCTCAGAAGATGATCAGGCAGCAATAACTCCACGGAAATAAGCCTACAGACCTGGTTTCAGGGCAGCTGTTATAACCCTCCAGATTTCTCATACCCTTACTGATGTTCAAAATATTTACCAAACACAGCACAGTAAAAAATAAATAAATAAATAAAAAATCTATTTTGTAGACAAGGACGTCTAACGTGACAAAATGCATTGTATTTTTTGAGATGCCAGTTTAGCATCGGGTTTGGCTTCCTGGAGTCTCAGAAAAGGCTGAGCTGCTTTCAGCTCAGGAAATCCCAGCCTTCACAGCACAGCAAGGACCTGCACCTTCACCAACACTTAAGACTTTGTTTCCTGCTGAGCTGAACAGAAGAGCAAAATTGACAAGTCCCAACACGAGAATTGCCGTGTAACTCCAACTTTTGATTTTCCTCTCGATGAACTCCCCGCTGACCTGGAAACGTAGGTGTTGGCAGCTCAAAAAACCAGCTCGTGTCATTACAAAAATATTCCTAAAAAAGCAAATGTGAACTGAGATAAGAGAGTAAGAACCCCTTTAGGAAAGTTGTGCTCGCATCAAGGTAAATCAGATGCCATCCTACTTGCTGGGGTAAAAAAGATCAAGACTGCACCATCAGTGAATTTTGGGAGAATTTACAAGCATTTTGGTTCCTTGTAGGTGTATATACAGAGGATTATGAAGGATTCAGCTATGACAGTTTAACATATAAATTCACTAAATCAAGGAATCAGCTGAATCCTAATCAGTCAGTGGAAAAGTAGAAGTTTCACTGTCACCTCACTGGAATGACTTTGTCCCCATCTCGTGCATCTATTTCTTTATCCCCTTTTGTTCTTCAGCTCAGGACTGATTAAATAGATCTATTCCCTCACACCGTTGTAGCCTATCATCCCAATCCCTGTGGCACAGAGAAGCCTGCCTGGCACTCTCCAAATTTTGTCCGTCTCAATAACTTGGCTCCTGAACTGGTTTCAAAAACAGATCGTTCAGCACGTTTTCCTTCTCTTTCCTCACCCCCAAGTGTTTCCAGTGTTTAACTGCACAGGAATTTTGAAGCTAGTAAGGCAAGGAGAAGTTTTATCCCCTTTTGTTCTTCAGCTCAGGACTGATTAAATAGATCTATTCCTTCACACCGTTGTAGCCTATCATCCCAATCCCTGTGGCACAGAGAAGCCTGCCTGGCACTCTCCAAATTTTGTCTGTCTCGATAACTTGACTCCTGAACTGGTTTCAAAAACAGATCATTCAGCACGTTTTCCTTCTCTTTCCTCACTCCCAAGTGTTTCCAGTGTTTTTTAACTGTGCAGAAATTTTGAAGCTACTAAGTCATGGAGAAGCTACTTCCCTCTTGGTCACTTTAGCAAAATCAGGCTCTCATGCCTTACCAAAATTCAGAAAAATCCATTTAAAGTTTTTCTAACGTTGGTAAGATTCAAATAAATCCCATCACTGAGACAACATCCACTATTAATTATTTCCAAATGAACTGAACTTGACCAAACCAATTAAGCCATAGCTGCAAGAGCATACAGTAAATTTGCAACTAAGTGTGCTCTTACAGACTCTACAGTCCTTTAATCGTTGGTTCCTCTGAACCAACTGCACTTTGCCCTCTGGCTTCACTTCTGAGCAAGACCTGAATGAGAAGAGTGACTGGAAATAAAAAATTAATCACAAATCTGAAGTCTTATAAACGTATCTAAGTGTTTTGTCCTCTTGGACCACCTGGAAAGTCGAGATAATAAATGGAGCTCTTCATTTTAAAATCACACCATAGGTTTCTCCCTACCACCTTGGAAGTTTAGCTCTAGGCATCCGTATTTTACTGGGACATCCAAGAAATGTGTGGCTAAGTTTTAAATCAAAGCTTTCACAGAGAGATGACTAGAGAGACAGTCCTTTAATCGTTGGTTCCTCTGAACCAACTGCACTTTGCCCTCTGGCTTCACTTCTGAGCAAGACCTGAGTGAGAAGAGTGACTGGAAAAAAAAATAATAATCACAAGTCTGAAGTCTTATAAACATATCTAAGTGTTTTGTCCTCTTGGACCACCTGGAAAGTCGAGATAATAAATGAAGCTCTTCATTTTAAAATCATACCATAGGTTTCTCCCTACCAACTTGGAAGTTTAGCTCTAGGCATCCACATTTTACTGGGACATCCAATAAATTTGTGGCTAAGTTTTAAATCAAAGCTTTCACAGAGAGATGACTAGAGAGACACTATTCTTTAAAATGATCAGAACTTGCACTAAGTAGATTTGGAAGGGGATTAATAACCTTTTTGGTGTGACCTGTAGAAAAAAAGGTTGGTACATTCCTAAAAACATGTGCCCAAGGCACACTAAATGCAGCCAGCCAAGCAGCGACCATTCTCCTCATGCCAATTTAAAATTCTAATTTTAAAGTTCTAATTTCTCCTGAGAAACCCAGCCCTGGAAGTAAGATTGTACACACGCTAAAAAGCTTTCTTCCCTACTCATTCCTCAGCTTGATATCGCTTGTTTGAACAGCTACATGGGAGCTCATCTCTTTGATTTGCCTCTAGAGTCCAGTTAATCACAACTTCCACAAAACAGGCCCTTGCGCTGACGCAATGACCAGATCTGAGGGTGGTCTGAATCCCCAGTGTGTATCTTTTGATCATAGTTTAACCAAAGCTGGATTTCCCTCTCTCTCTCCCTCCCTCCAGCGCTTGGCCTCCCTGCCTCACACTCAAACAACCCGCTGTATCCAAAACACAAACATTCTGCCTGAAAGCTTCCCTTGGAAAACAACAGGATTTTGTTCCAGCCACTGAAGAATGCTCCAAAAGCTCCGTAGCACGCGGCCTCTCGAAGGGTGTGAGCTTCCCAGGAGCTCAAGGGACTCCAGACTAACTCCATCCCTTCCATTTGAAGGAATAAGTGTGCTACCAGAAATTCAGCATTACTCATTATAAACTTTTGTCTTAAAGTCACAATCCAAGCAGATGTTCAAAACCTTAGCTGATTTACGCCCCACTTCTCCACTGAAACAGAATAAAGGCTTTTTCTTTGTGTTATCTTTATTGCAAAACCCAGATTTCAGTTCATGCAAGTCACAAAAAATGCATCTGAAACGCTAGACAAATGGTCCTTTTGACTTTGATCCAATCCTGTTTGATCTCAGCACCCTTCTCCCACCTGACTTTTAAAATCCCAGAGCTTTTCTCTTTCCTGAGTTTGCCACTTACCATGAAACTGTGAAACTATTGGAGGGGTGTCTTCATCTAAGTCATCGACTCCCCCCGCGATCGGGTAAGGAGGAATGGAAACTCGAGGCATAACTACCCAGCTGTGATCAGAGTAGAGAGAGGAGGTCAGGCTTGGCAGCCCAGAATTGTGTGCTATTTGAAAGCCACAAATCTTCTCAATCTGTTGCCATCGATAAAGCCGCTCTCGCAAACACGTCGTCAATTCAGAGAGAGCTTTCCTGAAAAAAACAGGGCAAAGCAACACAAGTGCAGTCATTCCAGCAAACCAGGAGATCCACTAAGACTATCCAAATATTCACACTTTAGTATCTTTTAAATGGTTTTACTTAAAAGTACAAAAAAACACCAAGACCACACTCTACAAGTCTCAAAAAAAAATTAAATCCATTCTTCCAGGAATAAATAATCACACAAGAATATGCATCCTGGTAATGCTCTTACTTTGCTTCAAGGATTTTATGGTCCACTTCATCCAGGGAGGAGCTGTGTGCAACATGTAACGTTCCAAACACAGTGCTTCTTTTCTTTTTTATCTTTTCTGCCTAAAAAGAAAGATAAAATGAAACACATCGAACTCAGAGTTATATGTTTAACACAGATGGCAAAACATTAGCAACATTGATAGGTAGCAAACCACAACTCAGAGGAGAAAAAAACTTCCAAACGCTTCTCCGAATAATTTATATTTACTATTTCATATATCTAGCAACGGATTAGAAAAGTCTTTAAGTAGAGCTAGAGTTGGTACCTCATCTTTGGCAATTGCTAATTGCATTTCTGCATGCTGTCTTTTGATATTGTAATACTGCACTTCGACTTCATGTGTTAACTGCAGCCACTTCTGCAAAGCCTCAGGAACAGACCAATTGCTTCTCAGCTCAAACTCCTTCTCAGCCTTTTTTAAAGCCGGAATAAATAATCACACAAGAATATGCGTCCTGGTAATGCTCTTACTTTGCTTCAAGGATTTTATGGTCCACTTCATCCAGGGAGGAGCTGTGTGCAACATGTAATGTTCCAAACACAGTGCTTCTCTTCTTTTTTATCTTTTCTGCCTAAAAAGAAAGATAAAATGAAACACATCGAACTCAGAGTTATACGTTTAACACAGATGGCAAAACATTAACAACATCGACAGGTAGCAAACCACAACTCAGAGGAGAAAAAAACTTCCAAACGCTTCTCCGAATAATTTATATTTACTATTTCATATATCTAGCAACGGATTAGAAAAGTCTTTAAGTAGAGCTAGAGTTGGTACCTCATCTTTGGCAATTGCTAATTGCATTTCTGCATGTTGTCTTTTGATATTGTAATACTGCACTTCGACTTCATGTGTTAACTGCAGCCACTTCTGCAAAGCCTCAGGAACAGACCAATTGCTTCTCAGCTCAAACTCCTTCTCAGCCTTTTTTAAAGCCATGCGAACCTAGGCATCGAGAAAGAAAGACAAGTGTCACCAAGAGCATCATTGGAACTGGCAACAGAAGAAAGTGAAACACAAGCACCTTTATACCCCACAGCAACGTACTCAGCTGTACAGAGCTCTGGTGTGTGCCAGCTGCTGCCAGGGAGGGCACATCAGGCATTTCTAAAACCCAGCGTAGGAATTTCCATACTATATTATACTCAGACTGGTTTTTCCTACAATATAGTCCCCCAACTTGAAGCTTAAATATTTTTCCAAGACAGCATTTTTAATTTAGTTCAAGAAATGTGATCTATTGCTGCTCAGAAGAGCGAGACAAAGCCGCTATCTCTTATCTGATAAGACAGAAAAAAGCTTTTGTATGTATTTTGTTCCATGAATCCAACAACGCTACGATAAGCTAATCCACAAAGTGCATGTCCCTTTAGAGTTCCAGGATTATTTTACGAGATAATGGCACGATTGACAGACCATCATTAAATGCTCTTGGAATTTTTCCATCCAAATCTAGCATCAGAGAAATGCTGTTGTCAACCCTCCTAAGGATCTAATAAAACCAGGACGAATTTAAAGTCAAGGCTAAAATGATGAAGAGTTTGGAGATACCTGTACTAGCTCTTCCTCTGCGTATTTGAGCCTGCTGAGCTCACATTCTGCTCCCTCCCTCAGCTCCCTCAGGCGATGAGCTTCCCGTTTGGCGTCGTTGATCTCATCCATCATTTTGCGCTCCAGGTTTTGCTTTTCCACAGCAACGTTTCTGTTCTCTTCTTGGGCCTTCTCAAGCCTTCACAATTGAACAAGAAATATGAGAAAATATACAGCACGTTCGTTAAAAGCTGCAGTCCTCAGGGGGGAAAAAGTGTGTCCAGTAACAGGGCAAGAGGCAACGGGCACAAACCAAACCACAAGAGGTTCTGTCTGAACATCAGGAAACCCTTTTTCAAGTGAAGGTGACCGAGCACTGGCCCAGGTTGCCCAGGGAGGTGGTAGAATCTCCATTCTCCGACATATTCAGAAGCCTCCTGAGCACGGTCCTGGGCAACCTGTTCCAGGTGATCCTGCTTGAGCAGGTGGGGCTGGACCGGATGACCTCCAGAAGTCCCTTCCAATCCAACCTCAACCATTCTGTGGTAACAAAGACTGCAAGCTTCATGAATCAGCAGCAATTACATCGCGCAATGTGATGTCCACCTCAGACAAAATACACAAACTTTTAGGTGAACCTTCATTGAAGAAGATCGAAATACAAGTCTTTAGAGACAATTGAGCTAGAGGTGCACCAGAGAAGACTATCAACTCTCCCACTGCTAAATAAGGCATAGAAAGTAATTAGTCCAGGTCTGGTTCAGTTTTTAAGAGCTCAAAACAGGGCAAATATTCTCCCTTCCATGTATGTGAGGATCCCACAGCGAACTGTAGTTAAGTAATTAGTCCAGGTCTGGTTCAGTTTTTATGAGCTCAAAAACAGGGCAAATGTTCTCACTTCCATGTATGTGAGGATCCCAAAGTGAACTGTAGTTTTATGAAAATAACGGTACATACTTCTAAATCTGTAGGTTAAAAAGACTGAACCTCTATCCTCTACCTTTGTCCCCAGGTTCATATTGCCAGCTAAAATATCCAGGAGCAATCTCTACCCCAAAAACCCACCATTGTCATCAAAATCACAATTTCCATGCAAAACAAAAATGAACAAAATCCAAAGGCATCTTGCTTAATGCAAATAATTTATGACTGTAAATAATCTGTATTGGTATTTAACCTCAAAACAAAAGGACCACTAAAAATTAACTTTTTTTTTTAGTTTTTATACCTTTCCTGCAAGTCAAGAAGACTTTGTTCTGCTGTTTGGAGACTTTCCAAGTCCTTCATCATTTTTGTGATATGTTCTCTTGAGGTTCTGTTCTGGGTATACGCAAACCAGCAGCCTCCAAAGCCAATAACTATAGAAACTGTCAATATGAAATCCTTCATCCAGTTGTGAGGGGGACCTGTGCAGAGAAAAACACCATCATTAATTAGTTCATTGATACAGACAACACCACACCATGGCCTTCCTCTTTTCCTTTTCCAAGACTAAGATGTGACAGAACCTGACGCTGAACAGGATTTCAAGCTTATTTATCTCAAACCATCTCCCAACAACTACCCTCCAACCTTTCAAATGGATTCCAGAGCATTTTCCACACAACATAAGCAACTCTGCTCTAATAAAATCTACTTAGTCTATATTAAAACACATATTTGATGGAGAAAAGCTTACTCAACTTTTACAGTACATAGTCTGTATCAGTCAAAAATTATTTGAGGAGGCTTTTTATGACGCAAAAGCCAACATCCATCCATCAAGTGGGGTTACACTTCAGTTTCTTACTGTACATCCATCCATCAAGTGGGGTTACACTTCAGCTTCTATGTCCTTAGTCTATATTAAAACACATATTTGATGGAGAAAAGCTTACTCAACTTTTACAGTACATAGTCTGTATCAGTCAAAAATTATTTGAGGAGGCTTTTTATGACGCAAAAGCCAACATCCATCCATCAAGTGGGGTTACACTTCAGTTTCTTACTGTAATCTTACACACTGAAGTGGACCTTTGTTCTAATTCCAGCATCTTGGTCACATTTTGCAATTCATTGCCCAGTTCCACAAGGCACGCCAAGCAATCCATCAGTGCACCCACCAAACAGATAAACTTCTCCAATCTACAGTATCAGGTGTCACTGAAAGTATTGAATTCTTACAAATAAGAGATAAGGAAGAAAAAAAACCCAAAACTCCAGGAAGTTACTAACGTGTGAGAGGCCCAAATAAAACAACATCCAAGGCTTTAAGCTGAAGCTTCTGTCTATGGCTCCGGTCAATTATTTTCAAGTGAGAGATCATGAAAGCGTGTTCATTTACTGCTATCCTGTTAATGATAAAACAAAGCATTATTATTCTACAAGCTATATTCAAAATCAGGTTATGGAAAGAAATACATTAGAGCATTTCCCACAGTTATATAGATTATAGTTATGGAATTGGAGTGAGAGATATAATACAATGACAGTAGTGTTATTAAAAAAAAGCACATCAGCATGTGGCAAAGGAAGACCATCAAATAATTTCCCTACTTTTTTATTTCTGGAACAATTATAAAATAAATCCCTTTGGCATAGTTAGAAGCAATGGTATATTTGCAGACTTCTACAACAACTCTCTGAAATACATGCAATACTCAAATTTAGTAGCTACGCTCAAGGAAAGGGGTCCTGCAGGTAGTTTTTGATGTACACCTATAAAATAAATTGGAAGTTGTTCAAAAGAAAGTTCACTGCCATAGAGAATTGTGTCATCCTGGATAAAAGCTTCAACAGCAAAAACAAAACAGTAAAACCACTAAGACAAAAGGAATGGCAAGAAGCATCTATATTTTGAAATATTTTGGCCAAAAAAAAAATAAAAGGAGCTAACTCTTCAAAACTGCAAGAACACTTCTCTCTCTTTGCATTTATTTGACCATATCTTGTTAGGCTTTAGGTTCATGTATCTGTTCCCACCTACAGACCCAAGCAGCCACCCACAGGGAATTATCTGAAACCAATCCAGAAGAAACCTTCACCTGGGAAGCGTCGTTCCATTGACATTGCTGTCTCTAAAATTCTTTTCATATTGGGGTAGTTCAACGAATTCTGACAGCCACTGAAGCGTGTCCTCTTGAGTCCAGTTATGAACTGGAAGAAAAAAGTCAGTTTAATTACCTTTAATTTTCATAAAAACCAGTAGCAAGACGGAGAAGACAAGCAGCAGGAAAGCAGGTTATGGAGAGCAAGAGCATTTAGCCAAATATAATTGCAGAAAAGTTCACATTAACGTTCACCAAGGTGTTCCTGGCATTTTGCCTTTTTCATTATATGCTTCTCAGAGGAAGCTTAGGCAAGCTATAAACAAGCAAGCACGGAACCAATAGAAACACATCTTGATTAAAAATTCCACAGAATAATTTAGTGTTCTGCTTAGTTTAAATCAGGACAGCGTCTTGTGACTTTTATCTACTTAAAACTGATCTCAGCCTCAATCCCTTTGTCCTTGCTACCCCTGAAGATGTAAATGCGTGGCAGCAGGTGCTGTAGCCATTTAAGGCCATGTACCCAGATCTTCCCCAGGATGATGGCTTAAGAACTTGTTTTCATAAGATTCTGCACAGAGGTCCATGCCTACTAACCACAAACTGGAAGCAGAAAAGATGAGACAAAGAAAATACTGAAATACAGAGAAAATTTAACAGGAAAACAATTATATCTCAAATATGCCCAAACCAGCTATATTACATGCAATAATATTCCCACTAAGAAAAATTATTTAAATATGTAGAGAAAAATTAACAATTTTCCTATTCAACAGCAATAATCTACATAACCTTTCATAGCTACAGATGCTCTAAGAAAGTAAGGGAATACTACCCATAGATTTTACCAAAAAACAATTTAAAAAGATACATTTCTGGCCTTTATGGGCCAGCTGTTAGAGCTTACAGCTTCACACTGACAGCGTAGAACAGAAATTATTCTCTCCAGTTATGAAGACTGTAAAAGTTTGTCTGCACATGAAAGAAATAAAGTGACCACCTCCTGGACAGACATGTCTTTGCGTGAACAAATTTTTATTTACTTATATATTTTTAACATTTCTCTATCCCAAACAATTTGCAGAAATAAAGTGACCACCTCCTGGACAGACATGTCTTTGCGTGAACAAATTTTTATTTACTTATATATTTTTAACATTTCTCTATCCCAAACTATTTGCATGTGACAACACCCTCACAGGAAAGAATTTCTTCCTGAGATCTCATCTAAATCTCCCCTCTTTCAGTTTAAAACCATTGCCCCTCGTCCTATGGCTCTGCTCTCTGACAAACAGTCCCTCCCCATCTCTCCTGGAGCCCCTTCAGATACTGGAAGGGGCTCTAAGGTCTCCCTGGAGCCTTCTCTTCTCCAGGCTGAACAACCCCAGCTCTCTCAGCCTGTCCTCACAGCAGAGGTCATCTTCACGCTTCTTAACTGTTTCATGAATAAGCCATCAGATTTACAAGTTGTTCTAAACATCTCAAAAGGGTCATAAGGTCATCCAGAAAAGTATCACCTTAACTGTATTCCAGAAATATGTTCATTAACTCATCCAATGCAAAAGCGTTGTTTGGATATGACATAGGGAAAGAAAAAAAATCACCTAAAATAGCTACTACACACTACAGACTTTATATCTGACAGCATAAAACATGCAATTTTGGAAGCCACACAAGTCACTGAGTTTATATATTCAGGGGAAGAAAAAGAAAGGAAAAGAAAAAAGAATATAGAGAAGTCTCACTTCTACCGTTCAAAGTATTTTATAGTCACTCTGTGAACATTCAAGTAAATTGGTACTTTTTTTTATAATTCAGTAGTAATTTTAAAGAAGTAGGGCCTTCTACTCCTTTCAGAAATCAAACAGCATTGGGTAAGAGAGCTTCACTCTAGGAGTGAGTGACAGCCATACCTAGAGCTGGGAACAGACTGACTGGGCAATGCAGAAAAACACAAGATTGTTGTGCATCAAGCACAAGTGTCCTCTCTCCTGGTCCTGACTGGACTCAGCCTCCCCAAGCCCTGCTCGCTCGTATTTCCAGTCTCTGGCTATTTAAAACCTGAGACAGCAAGCAATTAAGAAAGTGCAAGGCGACCGTAACACCTTTGTGGAATGCAGCTTAGTCCCTTGTGCAAGAACACTTGTGCAACACGACCTCAGAACACAACAGGTGATCACACAGATAAAAATCAAGCTAATTTTTAAAATCTTTTTTCCCCCCTAATAAATAAGGTACCAGACCTTAGGTCTCCTGCTTTCCACAGAGAAGGAAAAAGAGTTAAAGAAATTAAAAGCACACACACACACAAGAGAGTGTGCTGATTTTACAGACTCCCTTATTATTGAGACTAAATACCTACACGTCTCTCTTCAGACAGCAAATTCATGATCTTCACCCATTGAAGGGAGGGGGGGAAGAGAAGGCAGACACCCTCAAGACATTGAACTTGCAAAGATAATTGTGCAAAGACTGGTATTCAGGCATCAAAATAAATGTTCACGTGTCACCTTTGCTGCACTCATACCTCCTGCCTCTTAAATGCCCTTAGAAAAAAAAAATATACTCAAGATGCACCTTTGATTTTAACCCAGCAATAAATACTGAGCTTGATACTTTCGAATAGCTGAAAGGCTCTGCAGATGTAGAAATACTGCTTAGTTCGAAAGAAAAGGAGATAGTCAAAGCAAACACCATACAACCAGCATATATTAGCATTTATATTTAAAAAGCAGATACACACAATAATGGAAGTCAAAGGGCTTTCAAAAAATAGCGTTTTCTGTGCTTTAAACAGCTGTGCTAGTTTCTAGTCCTGCCTCTAAATCTCTGCAGAATTAGATTATGAGACTAGAACACTTAAATGGGCACAGAAAGTGTAAGTAATATCAACTAAATTAAGTGACAGTCTTGTTTTGTACTAAAGGACTCACTGAAACTGTGCACCAACCCAGATGCTGATTTAAGTTACTACAGGATTCCTTCCACACAGCTAAAACCTACAGCAGCCTTGAAATTCCTTCAGTTTGCACCAGCACAGGTCATGCCTTAAGGATTCCTCACCAGGTGGGGACACCAAAAGTCTGTCCACCACCAGAAATATTAAAAAGCAATATTCTGAAGCTCTTTTTTAAAATTTTATTAGGAAATTTTTTAAAGCTTTGAACTGAGCCAATCCTCTGGGTTCCCTTTGCTGTGTGAGAAACCTTCTCAAGCAATTACTTAAAACTAACCTTTGTTTTCCCTAATGCTAACAGGAGGCACCAAACAGCAACGAGGCACTTAACTACACCATAAACAATGTTTTCACTTTCTCCCCTCAAATCTTATCTGTCCCACATCACCCATATCTTCAACAGAAAGCGACTTTAAGCTGTTTGACAAATACTTTTAAGACAAACATCCCCATAAAGCAAGCTTTGTGGGAAGGAACGGGCAATTCCCCTCAGCATCAACTAGGCAGGGACAGATCCAGAAAACATTTCTCCATCAGCACTGAGGGGCACCACCAAGGGCACTGCCTGGGGCTTGTGTTCTCACACGGACACCTCGGATGTCTTCAAGTTTCAAATGTCTGACATGGTCATTTACACTCCCTTCCACCTCCTCGTTTAACCCTGTCAAATGACATTAAACTGGCACTATAAACGTTGGAGTCGTACCCACACGGCTCACCCCCTTCAACAAAACTGGAACAAAGACACAACAGTCAAATTAGACACTTTTGGTAGCACTATAGCCTCAATTTTTTGAGGAGATACTCATAAGTTAGCTGAACAACTGCAGGGAGATAATTTCCTCTGATAATTTAGCTGCAGTTTTCATTGAACAAGATCTTTAGTCAGTCAGTATTTACAGAATATTTGAAGAGATGAGGCCAAAAATCACTGGTTAATACATAGATATTTAATTACTACACAGCAAATACTTAACCAATGTATTACCTCAGACTGACTTCCTATATGAGCAGAATGAACCAATGGCATGTTCACAGTTTCATTCCTCTTTTATTCCTACTTCTAGCAGTTTGAATAACACCAACTTTTAGATCTCTAAGTATTTACAGAATATTTGAAGAGATGAGGCTAAAAATCACTGGTTAATACATATTTAAACTACACAGCAAAGACTTAACCAATGTACTACCTCAGACTGACTTCCTGTATTAGCAGAATAAACCAATGGCATGTTCCTAGTTTCATTCCTCTTTTATTCCTACTTATAGCAGTTTGAATAATACCAACTTTTAGATCTCTGTATGCTGACCATTAGCACACCACCTTCTGAATGGACTGGGAAAAAAAAGTTAAGTATTTTTCTCCTAACAATTCTAATATTCTGGAACCTCCTGAGATTTCATTTTTAATCAGTACATCCTGGAACATATTTGGCAATGAACACTATACTGCTCATTACATGTCTTGATATTTAGAATATTTGGCTCATCTTGCTTATTTCATTCAAAACAAAGCAGGGGAGGGATGGTGATGCTGGATTGTCAGTCCATTTTCCTGTATCCCAAGTTTAAGATGATCTTCCAAAAGGCTTTGGACTATGAATTCTACCTCTTTGTAGCCCAAAGACAACATTGGACTTTCCACTTCATACGGTGTATAATAAATGTATAAAAACAGCTTGACAGCAGCCCTTGAGGCTTACTAAATTAAAAACATGCTTATCTGGAATTCAGCGCTTGCAACAGTCACCTTCATAAATTACAACCTCATGCTGACGTGTATGTAAATTGGATTAGTTTGCATACAATACACCCAGCACCTCAAGAGGTAATTAACACTAGCTGGACTGAATGAGTTTTTAGTCAGCTTTACATATGACTATCTATAAGTAACGGTACCAAAACAGACTCATAAAGCTGCTTTAAGAGGCCCACCATTTACTACTTTAAATATCTGTGGAAAAATTGTTGAATAATGTCCATTTCAATAACCAACGTTATTTTTCTTTACCTACCTTCAGACGTTTTCCAGCGCTTCCACAGATCCTCTATGGTGATATGTTTGTCTTCTCTGTGCAGGTGACTATGCTTATTAGAGGCATCCTTGTATTGCATATCTTCCCGGAGAAACTGGAAAAAAGGGAAAAACATCATCTTTAATGCCAAAAGAACCATTTCTAAAAAGAAAGAACAAGGAAGCCAGGTAGGAGAATCTTTACTATCTCCTCCCTGTGCCAGCAGCACCATTCATGGAAGTTGACTACATCGAAGACTCAGAAAGCAAGTTAAACACTCTGAGAGGATCCCATTAAATCCTAGAAAGACTGAAGAATCAGCTGCTATTATATTGGTTTAAGAACATTATTAGTGGGAAAAAAGGGAAAAACATCATCTTTAATGCCAAAAGAACCATTTCTAAATAGAAAGAAGAGGGAAGCCAGGCAGAGGAGAATCTTTACTATCTCCTCCCTGTGCCAGCAGCACCATTCATGGAAGTTGACTACATCGAAGACTCAGAAAGCAAGTTAAACACTCTGAGAGGATCTGATTAAATCCTAGAAAGACTGAAGATGCAGCTGCTATTATATTGGTTTAAGGACATTATTAGTGTGCCTTAGATTTACAGTGATTACAAGAACACACCACACAGGTCATACTGTGTCCTTCTCTATTCTGAAGACGTTGAACCAACTTCACCTACTTGAAGACAGACCAGGTAAGATTTGAAACTGTGCCACTCCTTTGTGGATGAGTAATGCCTGAATCCTGCTATACCAGTTAAATGCAACTGGGATGAGAGAAAGGTGTTGATTTAAGTGTTACTAAAGTCTTCTGATAAGAAAAATTTGACTTCTACTCCATCAACTGAAACAACAGAAGGCATCTTAGGGCCAATTTTCTTCTTTCTTATCATCCCTCAGTTGTTACACTGCAAGCACAGAAGTAATACACAAAGCTGTTTCACTCTCACTAATTAATAGAATCATAGAATTGTCTTAGTTGAAAGGGACCTTTAAGATGATCTAGTCCAACATAACACTGACAAAAACCATCACTGATCCATGTCACTAAACGCTGTGTCAACCCATCTTTTGAACACCTCCAGGGATGGTGCCTCAACCACTTCCCTGGGCAGAGCCCATTCCAACGGGAGCCCTTTCAGTGTCAAAATTTTTCCTAATATCCAAGGTCTATGTCAAATATAGGAAGCCTATGTCAAAATGCCACACTTTGCCTTTTAGTAAATGATAAAAAAGGAATATTCTGCAATCATATCATATATAGCAGTGTCGTATCACTATTTCACAAGTCACTACCAACAGGTTCTCCAAATACATTCAAGGGAAAAAAAAAAAAAAAAAGCATGGAACTGCAAACCCCATGTTATTTTTATTTCCCACAGGGCTAGAAAAGCTGGGATACTGGTTAGCAAACCATCTCCCTTTAGTAGTGGAAACCTTCCATAGGTATCAGTCCCTAAAAGCACAGCATGAGCAGTCTCTGTGGGTGGAGACCTTAATATGAGCAGCAGAAAACCAACACCAGAGCTAAGTAATCTCCCACAGCAGATTGCTCCCTTGCTGCAGTTCCTCAAGAATAAGCTGCTTAAGCAAAACCAGCTATAGATAGTCACGACAGCTAACCCAAAAACCAGCTTTTTATGTTTCTGCTCACATGTAATCACCACTTCAAGCAGAGATAAGGAAGAAGGCCGAGCTAGCGATGCACTGCAGAAGATCCCACCTTCTGAACTTAGTCCTGGTAATAATTTATTTGCAGAGCTTCTTGCATACACCTTATTTATAGCAAATCTAGAGATTATGCCATTCAGGAAACTGCAGGAGAGACTGGAAAGTAGTCAATGTTAAACCATAATATTAACTCTTAATAGAGACAGTGTATGATAGCAGAAATATGCAAGAAAAAGCTAATACTTAGCACTTTCCCCTTATTAAAAACTTCATTGTTACTATGTAGTAAGGGAGCCTAAAAATATGGGGAAGGCATTCGAGTACCTCCTCTAACTGCCAGACTTGGGATAAAATACTAGTTACCTTCCCTAAACCAATCATAAAACCACACACATCTTTTGGTTCCAAATATAGGTTGGATGCAATCCCCCTCTCGCTTAGCTACCACTTCACAACTGTTTTGGTTGTCAGACATTAGTTTTCTAAAGCCTTTTGATTCCTAAAATAGTTCCATTTGGCCCATCCAAATGGCACAAGCATTTTTGACTATGCATCCCCCTGCATACGAGATAGACATAAATATAGATATATATACACTTGATAAATAGATGAAAAATGTTAAGAACAATTGAAAATAGCAGCCTGTTGGGGCAGAGGCAATGACAGAACTTCTAAAAAACCATGCCCCAGCAACTGTGAAAAGGTAGAATAAGCAGAGAAAAGGACTGATTGCTGCAAGTATATGCAAGCATAAAAATATCTGCTGCATAACCTCTCCTGCCTGCTCCATACTCCAAGTGTACCAAGCACTTGCCAAATTGGCACAAACGGCCACAAAGCTGGCAATTTCCACTGCTCACATGCAACACGCGATCAAAGGTGGATTGTCTTATTCCTTCTTACCCTGTGTTTATCAAAGGGTAAACTGAAAAGAAATTAAATAGTAAGAAAACACAAAGAACAAGCATAGCCACTAACCTCTCCAAGCCTTTCCAGATTGAAGTAGTCTCACAGGTGGAACAGCAGGAGAGAGCTGTTGTTTGCCCACCCCACCACTTCAGACCGCAAGTACCTACACAACTACCAACCCCAACGGGTCTTTTGGGTGTGAAAAATATACTATATGGGGGTAAAGGTACAGGTCAACACTCCCTTTTCAGCTTTCCAGTGACTGGCCACGCACTGCCCTGAGAGATTCCAAGTGTCAGGTGTGGATATTTGTTTTCAAAACCAAACATTGTAGGCCCATGAAGGTTCTGAAGAGGAACAGAACGGAATATAGGCTGTATGGAAATGTTTCAGCACGTTTTTGCATCTCCTCAGCTAAACCTCATACCTTTGTGCTCGAGAGAAATAAACTTCCTTCTATCTTTAATGGTGGTTGTCAGGAAAGGTTGTAGAATACTTTAGGATCACAGAATCTTCTAGGTTGGAAGGGACCTTAAAGATCATCTTGTCCAACCATCAACCTAACTGACAAAAATAGACACCCACACAACAAACAAGGAGCATCATCACTAAACCATACCTCCCAGCACTACATCAACCCGTCTTTTGAACACCTCCAGGGATGGTGCCTCAACCACCTCCCTGGGCAGCCCATTCCAATGGCTGAGAACCCTTTCAGTGAAAAAATTTTTCCTAATATCCAGCCTGAACCTCCCCTGGTGCAACTTGAGGCCATTTCCTCTTGTCCTGTCACCTGTGACTTGAGAAAAGAGACCGACCCCCATCTCTCTACACCCTCCTTTCAGGGAGTTGTAGAGAGCAATAAGGTCTCCCCTCAGCCTCCTCTTCTCCAGGCTGAATAACCCCAGCTCCCTCAGCCTCTCCTCATAAGACTTATTCTCCGGATGAGAAGGTTTGAACAGTTACAGGTGCTGTCATGAAAAATCTGAATTGCTGTTAACGGTTAGGAACGAAGATGAGAAGGAAGATGCCATCTGATAAACAGAAAAATCTTCAAGGTGTTACATCTCACCCTAAAGCACTCTAAGGTACTATCAGAAAACATTCTGATTTTAGAACTGGGGTGGCCACAGGTTACCCTGGCACCCAGAGAAGCAGCACAAACAGCAGCTTATGGCAAAGCTGCAGCATTTGATGTCGTTCTGCTCCTGAGCCCGCAGAGGGAGCAAGAGTTCAGCTCGGAATTCCTGTTCCCCAGCAGGGCTGGGACACAAGGGACACACTAACCAGTTGGGGGAAAAATATGAAAAGACCCATTTCAACTTTCATCACAAATACAGGGAACAAATCCAAGTGGGAAGCACAACATTTCCTGGGAGAAGAGGACACTGATCTGGTTTATGCCGAGAGACTGGTCAGGGCTTTTGACCAAGTCCCTTTTCCAAAAGGAACTGCCAACGAACTTGGAAGCAGTTTGATTTTAGTAATTTAGTAATCAGTACACAGTTACTTCTCAAAAGGAGAGATTATGCATTTATGAGAATTTCTTCAAGAAAAGAGCTCCTTCTTTGCAATCCACCCAAGGTTCAATCTTACCAGGGTGAGTTCCTCAGCGAGGTTCTCCGACACCGGATGGTCACAATAGTAAAAGTTATAGCTAGAAAGGGGCCATCACTCAGGAGGCCTCATCACTCTCTACAACTACTTGAAAGGACACTGTAGAGAGGTCGGTGCTGGTCTCTTCTCACAGGTAATTAACAATAGAACGAGAGGGAACGGGCTCAAGCTCCAACAGGGTAGGTTTAGACTGAACATTAGGAAGGAATTTTTCACAGAAGGAGTGGTCGGGCATTGGAATAGGCTGCCCAGGGAGGGGGTGGAGTCACCATCCCTGGATGTGTTTAAGGGACGTTTAGATGGGGTACTGAGGGATATGGTGTAGGGGAGGACTTTGTAGAGTAGGGTAGATGGTTGGACTCAATGATCCCAAGGGTGTCTTCCAACATCAATGATTCTATGATTCTATGATCACATCTCAAAGAATGAGCACGTTTACTAATGAAGGGATATATGACATCAAAACATATTTTTTTTGTTTACAATACCTTTGTTTCAAAACAGGCCTCATAAGGAAGTTCTCCTTTAAGAAAGGGAAGTGTGCCCTAAATTGAAGAAAGTCATAAAAAACCCAAACAACTCTGGTAAAAAGAGATTTCTGTTCCTTGTCAGGGCAGCTGATCTCTCTTCTGTTGCCTTGGCCATTAAGTATACAAAGAAAAGGTTAGAAAAATAACTCTAAATAGGGAGGTTAAAAGAATAAGCCCTCACAAAAAAATATCTAAGGATTATCTTAGCCAACATAATTACTCAAGAGAGAGAAAGTTTTTTAAGACTACAAAGTTGAGACCGAGAAAGCAGCGGATAAGTTACGTAAAAACTGAGTGAAACAAAAAAAATCCTTCATCCTTAGTTACTTCAAAAACAAGCAGAGAGTAAAAAAAAAAAACCACCACACCTAGACTCAAACCT